ATATATATATATATATATATATATATATATATATATATATATATAAATTGTTGCATGTACTTTTCAAACTAACTTATCGTTTACTCTCAAATACATATGTTAAGTTAAAAATATAAGAGCAATAATCGCGTCACTATTTCGCCAATATACATTATATTAATATCCATCGCATTAACTATTTTTGTTTTCAATATCTGTTAATAAATATAACATTACAATGTTTTGTAAGTACATAAAGATATATTATATAAGCACAAGTTATGAAGATATCGTTAGAGCCATTTGAATCATTATTAGTTGTCTGATCACCAAGGTTGAGCAACAGCAACGAAGACTAGGACCCAGATTAGGAAATGGGATGATCGGTGCAGTTCGAGTTCGAAATCAGGCAGAAACACGTATAAGCGAAACGCCGCAAAATATAATGTACCAGTTGTTTTTATTATTTTAACAAAATAATCAAACATTAAGTTATATGGGAGTGCGAGTTATTATTTGTGCATGCTTGGGTGTTAATAATACTTGGTATATATATTTGGTATTCTGATGTTCTGAGAATATTCCACGTATATCCTCAGAATATCATGGACGATATTCTGAGAATATCCTAAGAATAAGAAAAGGGTGCAAGTAGGAATATCTTGAGTATATCATGAGTATATCCTAATATATATGGAGTATATCCTACGTATATCAGATATTTTATTTTTAGAATATTCTCAGAATATCATGTGCTATCTGGGTGCTACCTGGGTTGCAAATTGAAATTAGGAACATGTAATACAACAGTAATAAAGATTTTTTTATTAAGAGAATGATGCTATGTATATTGTTATTGTATGAGTAATTGTAAATAAATGATAAGAAAAGTGTGCCAATTAAAATATATCATTAATTTGTATTGCTATGCTATTAATTAAAAAGACAAATATATTTCTTATTATATTAATACTTGTCATTAATTTTAATTTTATAACTAAGCATTTGCTAACTGTAAATACCATAAATTAGTCAAAATCGTGGCATATAAATAAATTTTTATAATTTATTGTTTTAATAAAATAATAATAAATGATAGGAGAATAATAAATTTAATAAAGTGCTTATAAGTGTTTTATAAGTTTCTTATTTATGAAAAGATATATTACTCAACTTATGATTTTAAACGTTACACATGTTTAATTTTATCGTAAAAAAAGAAACATGAGGAATGCAAAAGTCGCAAAGGAACTGTCACGTTGCCGCTTTGAATGACGCATCACTTTCTTCGTCATATTACATAAGTGATTAATCGTTATCCATCGCAACTGAATAAACACTCGATCATGTATATAAACGTTATTGAATGCGTTACGCTGAACCATTTAAAGTCTCTCAAAACGAGGTTTCCGTACGATATGGTCATGATGGTACAATTCATGTCGATTCTGGTTTTCCTGGCTATTAGTGGTAAGATATTAAATATTTTTATCGACATAATATTAAATATTGAGTTATGATTATATGAATTGTTATATTAAGTTTAAAAATAAAAAAATTAGTTTTTGCATTAATAATTTTAAATTAATAATTTTAAATTAATAATTTTGCAATATTGATAATTAATATTGAAAGTAATAAAAAGACAATCATTGTTTGTATTAATAATTAAATTATATTTGTATTGTATATGTATAAAGCTAATAAAGATTATTTCTTTTATTTTTTGGCTTTTTTGACTTGTTCTTTGGTTTTAAGCTATTAAAAAAAATCATAATTAACAGCCTTTTTGTCTTAAGAAAAATTAATAACTAATGTAAAATTACAATGATGCAGATAATTAAAAAGAATCGCTATTAGAAATACATTTCAAGTATTTTTGTACGTTAGAAGTATATAGCGCGTTTGAGTATCTATTAATAATAAAATTTGTTGTTAACAATCCGTGAATGGTTTTACATTCTGATGTGAATGATTTGTATTTTAATCACACATTTTTTATTATTTTGAGTTGCTAATACAATAAGCAATTTAATTTTATGACAAGAATCGAAATATATCGAAATATTATTAAATTCATTATTCTTTGCAAATATTAAAAATTTATATTGTGAAGAAATAAGTCAAAGGTCCTTCAAATTACAATAAAAATTATTTAGTTATATTATTATTAGTTATATTAGTTATTGCAATAAAATAACAAAATATATATTACTAGTTACATTAGTTATTGCAATAAAAATAAAAAAATATATATTTAATGAAATTTTTACCAGGTGTTAATAGCGAAGCATCACAAAACGACGGAGATGTTGATATCATTAAGCATCCATATATGGTATCAATTAGAATGAAAAATGAACATATATGCAGTGGTGTTATATATAATACGACTTGTGTCTTCACGTCAGATCGATGTGTTCCATCTTTTAAGCATGCTTGGAATGTCATGAATAATATGGCAATAGTTGCGGGAACAAGCACTACTAAATTTGGTGGTCAACATATTTATGTCAAAGAAACGTTCTCTCAAAATCATTATATAGATCCAACTAAGAATCCCGTTACGAGTGGTGTTGGTGTGATTAACGTAAGATATCTATACAACAAAAATACAAACAATTAAAATTATCATCTCGTTTTTATTTCAACATAAAAGTGATTATATATCATGAATTAATAAACTGAAATATTGTAAGAATTCTCATTTTAATGAAATATTATAAGAATTACGGATTACACACGAAACATTGGGAACTTAATATATTTGAGATGATAAAATCTCTTAAATATTTTTTTAGTAACTCAAAACTATTTTAGAAGCAAATTATTATATTTCTCGGTATCGATCAAACGATCGGTTATCGTGCAACATGCATTTTGCAGCTTCCAGAACTAATTAAAATCGGAGATTCACAACCAATTGAATTGTCTCCGACTGAAGTGCCAGTAGGCGAAAAAGTGCAAATGATTGGATGGATGATAAAGAATAGTCAAGGGAACACGACCTCGAATCTTAAGGAAGTTACATTAAGAGTAATAGATCATCAGGAATGTCAGCAATTCTACGAAAAGAATATCCAGAGTTATGAGTTTTGCACATTGCCAGAATCCCCAGGTAACTTTTGTGAGGTAAGTCCTACATACTTAAAAGATTTAATAGAATTAAATAAGAAAAATCTATGTAACAGAATTGGTAAAAAATTATAAAATTATATAGAATGGCATATGTATTCATATCAATATTTAATCATTATATTTAAGTATTATATTTTATTGTTAAAAATAAATTACGATATAAAATAAAAGAAATTAATAATTTTTTATATGAGCTAAACTGTGAAAAATTGAAATTTCTAGTAGGAACGATAAGTTCATATAAAAACATAGTATTTCAATAAAATTTATGTATATTTCTATTAATCTTTCCTTATTGAGTTTTTTAAGTGGAATTTTTAATTATAATTATATGTAACTATGTAAAATATGTCAATGAAAGTAAGACGATTTACACATACTCTAATATATATCTTATATATCTTAATATATCTACACAGGTATTATTTCGTATTTATCAAATATAGAGGATATCTGATAATTAATAATACAACGTTCACGCGCAGATACAGCATATCAAACTGTGCAGAAAGTCCTGCATTATTTTGTAAAATTCACATATTTATCAAAAATTAACTAAAGGATATTAACTAGTAAATACATGAGAAACGGTAGAACAAGTATTTTTGACTGTGTCTTTACAGATTAGCATTATATATCGGTTGCTAATGCTAAAAGTTTGTTAATAGATTTAAAACATTTTAAGTCGGGTATAAACTTGTTACGTATTATGTATCATCCTAACGTAACAGTATAAACGATACGCGATACAAGATCATATATCAAAAATTGATTACGCGGATACACAACGGGCCTGTTTGTTATAATGTCGGTATTCCATTCTTGTATCAAAGAGAAATTACATCAAACGAATGGAACACGTTTCTCTGTGTTACAACTACGTTGTGTGATTGCATCGTCATTTCCCGTATCATTTCTGGTTTACCTTATGGAGAGTGTATAGTTTTGTATCTGTTTCGTTTGCTTCGAAATTTTAAAGAGATATTGAAGATTGATATACGAATCTGCAGTTACTAAAAAATTCAATATTACTACCAATCTCTCTTGAATAGGAAGTAACTTTCTTAAACGTAGTGTCTTTTTGTTATTTATTCTCTGATCAAATTTAGTAATAATTCGAAATATGTTAGATGTATTCTGGTGGTTTGTATAACTCATTGATCCACTGAAATTTCAAGTTAGACATCAAATTGGAACTATTGTAAACTTTTGTATTTACGTACAGTTTCATTATCTACCGTCGTATCTAACGTTTTTAACGTCGTATTTTTTTTCTTTTTTTTAAGGCAGTAATAAATATGAATGTATGTCGCCGCTATTAATTGTATAGACATCTTCGTTGCTTGAATCTCACGATGATAGATATGGATGATATGGATATACCATGATGATACAAGAAGCAAATTAAGTATTGCCGTAACGTGTCAACGTTTGTTACGTTACGATGATACGTTATAAGGATACCTAACAAGCCTGTATTAGGCTTTAGATAAAAACTTGCCCATATTATAAATGTATTAGCCTATATTATATCTATATTATAGATAACTTGCCTATTATTAGATTATGATATTAGATTATTTTATTGTTTCACGCACTCATTTGCTGATATTTATTTAATTTTTTAATAAGTGTGGGGATTTTTTTAAATAGTACAAGTATTTTCCTGTTCAGTTTAATAGATTGTATCCGCATATAAACATTATTATTAATTGTCAAATATTTAATATATTATAATATTATGTAGAGTGTCTGACTCGTACCGTACCAGAGCTAATATATAGCTAGAATAGGTTGGGATAAGTAATGGAATCGGTATCATTTTTCAAACAACCACGTAAAATTTCGAGTTATTGAATAAAGTAGATGGGCTAATCGGAGCGTGGCGACGTGGCAGACGGAACATACGACGGCCGGCGAAGAAAATGGACGATTGTACGCGAACCTATCTCATAGGCCACAGAGATGGATCGTTTGGTAGCAACTACCAAATGAGATAGGTCCGCGAGCAATCGTCCATTTTCTTCACCGGCCCCGGTGAGCCGTATGTCCCGCCTGCCGCATCATGCGCTCTGATTAGCCCATCTAATTTATTTAATAACTTGAAATTTTACATAGATGTTTAAAAAAAGACTTTGATTTCATTATTTATCCCGACCTATTCTGGCTATATATTAGCTCTGATACGGCACGAGTCAGACACCTATATAGGGTGAGTTTCTCTATTGCGGGACAGCACTTAGTGCCGGATATAACCAATATCTATACACGTAGAAACGTGATGGAACCACTTTATATATATATATATATATATATATATATATATATATATATATATATATATATAC